AATCAGTTATTTTAAATTGTAATAATATTTCACAGTATTACTGTTTTTACTGTATTTTGATCAAATACATGTAGCCTTGGTGAGCATAAGAGACTTTTTTAAAACATTAAAATCTCAAACTTTTCAACAGTAGTGTATATAGAACTGCATACTGAACCATTATATTTGGCGTTGTGACATTAAGGAAATACTACAACTTCGCGCTGTGGATCGCCGGATCGGCTTTCACCGTAGACGAAACGGAGTCCAGCCCGGGGTCGTCACATGTGGTTGCGCAAGCCCTCTGGACATGTGTGCAGCACATTTTATGGAGGACTGTTTACTGATCCTGGTAGAGTACACTACAGTGCCGGCTGTTCTGACTCAAAGTGTTGTTTGTCATTTCTCCGACCACAAATGCAGACATGGTTTTATGTTTACGTGGTGCGATGCAACACAACGTTGTGTTTTTATTTATTTATTTATTTGTATTGTCTAGGTAATATCTTATGTTTGTATTAAGTTGTTGTGTGATGCTACTACCCTACTTTAATTGCCCCTTGTGGGATTAATAAAGTTGTTAACTTAAAAACTTAACGTGTAAAAAGACATTTTTAAAAGTCAAAGAGTACAAGTCATTATAATCCATAATTATGTCCCCACTGGATGGCGGGACATAGAGGAGAAACAATAATGTACAGTATGTGGAAAATAATGTGTTTTTTTAACCTTAAACCGCATAAACACATTTCATTACCCCAAATACACAAAATAATGTTCTTTTTAGCAGCATCATATGACCCCTTTAAATCTGGAAAAACAATTCTGCCGCCTTCCCACAGAGTTTAGCTCAAACCTGTCCTAAAGACCTTGTTTACCTGGTTTAGGTGTGTTTAATTAGGTAAACTCTGCAGGAAGGTGGCCCTCTGTAAACAGGATTGGACACTTTGATACAGCCAGAGAAGTTCAGCACCATGGAGAGCAACCTGGCAATTCAGCACCATGGAGAGCGTCCAAGAGCTTCACTGCTAGGTCCAAAATGGGTAATTTTGTGCTATACACAAAGTCTGTGGTTTTTAGAACCAAAGACAGAGTCCGCATCATCCTAATTACGCCATCCTCTTTCACACCAGTCTGTTTGACCAAACTCTTTATTATAAGGAGAGTAATTAAACACTCATGCATAATTATTTACCCCTCAAAAAGCTGCACATCGTCAATTATCTGTGAATCATTATTGTGGAGACACATGGAGGACACCGGCATAATGATCCTAATTATGATAAACATCAATCCTTAAAAGAGCATTCAGTCACTTACGGAGGTGTAGAGGAATCCCTCGCTGTTCATGCCCAGGTAGAAGCCAGTCTTCGCTCCCTGAATCGCCACTATCCGCAGACCCACAGGAATCAAGTTGAACTGTGCTGTGGGATGAAATCAGAGAAATTCATGCTCAGAGAAATAGATTAAACACTCAATGTGTGTCAGGTGTCAGAGAGAATGGAATATGCAGGTAGAAACAGTGTTTGGTTGCTTTAGATGTCAGTCAAACTGTCTTTTCCGTTATAAGTGTGCGTTTCTTGGGTAGAATAAGCTGCAATGACAACCAGACTTTTTGCCTTGAGTCAAAAGTCTGGCTTTGCGAGACTAGGGACATCGTGATTAGGATGAAGCAGGATAACAGATGAAGATGAGAGCGACACAGAAGAGCAGATGTAAAACTGACAGGGATGGAAAAGATAATGACATGAGGTGGGGGAAGTTATACAGGAGGGACTATCTGTCCTACGTCTGTTGTCCTTGATAGAAAGATGGATTGTGTTTGATATGGATCATTCATGGAACATCACACAGTTAATGCTTCTGAGAGATAGCAGAAGATAAAACCATGCAAAATAAAAGGCAATGAGAGGGAGAGAGATATTCCCACACAGGCTGAGGAACACTGGGTAAATATTTCCACAATTAGTCTTCAGTGAGATTTCCCGCTGGAGTTTGACAGATATATGACAGTATCTAATTGGTGTCGGACAGTATCGTAACAATTTAGCACCATCAAATTCACCTCATTGGGCGTGAAGTGTTTAGGATTCACATCAGACTGCCCTGTCACAACGTTCATGGGATGCCACAGTCATATGGTTATTTAATATGTGCGACAGTCATTTCAGTAGACAAGCATGACATGTAAGCTAGTCCCTGACAACCCAGGCAGGAATGTGCTACACTTGTGCACCCTGACAACTGCCATCCCAATAAAATTCTTCTCAATCCGTTACTCGCACACTCAAAAAAAACTCACATAGAGCACAAAAGGCACAAGAATTCATGACACATCACGTGTCTGCTCTCGTTGGAATGTTTTTCTCTCTCCTTTACTGTCTCTTCCCCTTCATGAACAGCATGATATGGTGACTCAACATAAAATACAACATTGTACCATTGTGGCCTCAGGCTGAACCTGTACAGAAGAATTGACTTCCAGAAATGCAATCTTTGGTTGACTCCAAAATACTATACGCTGTTAAAAATCTATATTTTAATGTGTTTTTTTTTTTTTGGTTTGCTTAAGGTACATTCACTCTGAATTTGAGTTTGTGAAGTTGTGATGCTGTCAGTTGCTAATAGGTGTTCTACACTGAACTACAGGAAAATTTACCTGACTTCCACTGTCACACTTCCATTGGTGGCCACTGCGGTGCATAATTCCTCATTTACATACAGTAAAACTCTCTTCAACTTTGTTGCATCACCAGTGGTTGCTTGCAAGCCACAAAAAGGCAACTCTAATTAAAAATGAATTAATTCTGAGCATCCATTTAATCATCTTTCCAAACCTGTAACACCTTCGTTCATCTTCGGAACACAAATTAAGACATTTCTGATGAAATCCGAGAGCTTTCTGACCCTCTATAGACAGTAACGCAACTACTAACTACTATGCCCAGAAATGCACATGTCATGGTACTATCAAAGACTGACATGGAAGAAGAGAAATTGTTGAATAAAGTTATTTTTGTTTTCTTTGTACACAAAAAGTATTCTCGTAGCTTCATAAAATTCAGGTTGAACCACTGATGTCACATGGACTATTTTAACAATGTCCTTAATACCTTACTGGACCTTGAACGTGGTAGTTGTGTTGCTGTCTATGCAGGGTCAGAAAGCTCTCGGATTTCATCAAAAATATCTTAATTTGTGTTCCGAAGATGAACGAAGGTCTTACAGGTTTGGAACAACATGAGGGGGACAGAATGACAGCATCTTCATTTTTGGGTGAACTAACCCTTTAATGCAAATACAGTAAGCATAAGCATATCAATTGCATAAACAATACTAAAATTGTATTTTTCGTTTTCTTTATATTCAATATTTAAAAAATAGATTATTTAACATTGAAATATGAAATAATTATAAAAATTAAATTATATTTTTAAAGATAAAGCTGCAAGTAGGTGACGGCAAGTCACATGTCTTAAAGGATAAGTCCACTTACAGAATAAACATGTCATCCAAGAGTTTTTTTCTTCAGTCGCAAAGAAATTTATATTTTTTTGGGAGGAAAACATTCTATGATTTATCTACATCTAGTGGACTTCAATGGTGGCCAACGATTTCAAGGTCCAAAATGTAGCTTCAAAGGTCTCTACACAATCCCAGCCGAGAAATAAGGGTCTTATCTAGTGAAACGATCAGTCATTTTTCTCCACACATACCGCTTAGAATTAAGGCCAAAAAGTTCTATCTTGGTCTCATCAGACCAGAGAATCTTATTTCTCACCATCTTGGAGTCCTTCAGGTGTTTTTTAGCAAACTCCATGCGGGCTTTCATGTGTCTTGCACTGAGGAGAGGCTTCTGTCGGGCCACTCTGCCATAAAGCCCCGACTGGTGGAGGGCTGCAGTGATGGTTGACTTTCTACAACTTTCTCCCATCTCCCGACTGCATCTCTGGAGCTCAGCCACAGTGATCTTTGGGTTCTTCTTTACCTCTCTCACCAAGGCTCTTCCTTATATATACATATATAATTTTTTTTTAAGTAAATGGCCGATCGTTTCACTAGATAAGGCCCTTATTCCTCGGCTCGGATCGTGTAGAGCCCATTGAAGCTGCATTAAAAAGGCATTTTTGACCTTGAAATCATTGGCCACCATTGAAGTCCACTATATGGAGAAAAATCCTGGAATGTTTTCCTCAAAAAAACGTAATTTCTTTGCGACTGAAAAAGACAGACATGAACATCTTGGATGACATGGGGGTGAGTAAATTATCAGGAATTTTTTATTCTGAAAGTGGACTTATCCTTTAATCAATGGGTCATTGAATGTGTTACTGAATCATTCACTTAAACGATTTATTAAAAAATGCAGATTCATTCAATAACGAAACACCACTGTGTATTGCTCACAAACATTTGGTTTTTGCAATTTGAATGACATACTTTATAACATCAGCTCGGACAGTGTTAAAATAACAATTACGAAATTATCTTAGATGATACATATCACGCACAACCCTATTAACAATGTACAACATCCTGCAGAGTGAATAAGTGAATTACTTCTAGACATCTAAATTAAAAAACACAACATGGCCAAGAAAATGTGAACATCCTCTTCTAATTATCTGCTTTGGCTAGGTCCCTTAATTCTAGTCCAGACAAATATTAATGCTATGGCATGTGATCTTCAATTATATTGCTAAATGTGAATCCCCATAGTGGCACCAGTGACCGTGGGCTAAGTGTTATACACCTGGCCTTAGGCCTGACATACCAGACATATGTCAACACTGGGCTCTCAAATTAATTATAACAGACAGACAGACAGACAGAACATGTACGTGAGGAGACTCTAAGGCTTAAGAAATTAACGTCATGAACAACAGAAGTTCATTTTATGTCTGTCTAGCGGTCACAGGGACGGACACAAGCAGACACTCCTCAATAGTTTCTACAACTGACCCAACCAGAGGTCACATTGCGCCTGTCAGCCGTGAATAGCGAGTGAGAAAGAACACGCGCTTACAGAAGCAGCTGTTCTCATCCCTTGTGCCGTCCATGGTGCCATCCGGCAGCATCTGCAGGTAGTAGCCGTGCTGGCTGTACAGACGGGTGACGATGCCTTTTAGCTGTGGCTCTGCAGAGAGAAAACACAATCACAGGCACACAGTGTTAGTCCGGGGGGAGAAAACATCACAGCTTGACCTATACAGGCATGACTTCATTAAAGCTTACGTAGAGTCTATTCATTATCAGCAGCTACTTATGTTGCCCAGGTCATGCTGCCATGCTTTGGACATTAAAACACAGAAGAAAACAATTTATTTCCATCAAATACACTAACGTTCAAATATTTGGGGTCAGTAAGCTTTTTTTTTTTGAGAAAAATTAATGTTTTTATTCAGCAAAAGACTCATTAAATTCATTAAACTCATTAAAAAAAGTGACAGGGCACATTTATAAATGCTGTTCTTTTGAACTTTCTATTCATCAAAGAATCCTGACAAACAATGTATCACGGTTTCTACAAAAATATTACACAGCAAAAACCATTTTCAACATTGATAATAATAAGAAATGTTTCTTGAGCATATCATCATATTGCACTGATTTCTGAAGGATCATGTGACACTGAAGACTGGAGTAATGCTGCTGAAATTTCAGCTTTGCTATGAAAGAAAAAATATATAATATCACAATATTACTATTGCGTTAGATAGCAAAATATTAATTTCTTGGTTTAATAAACCCATTTATTTTTTATAGAAACTTAGAAACCTAGCACAACACTTTACAACTAGAAAAACATTTAACAACAAGAGGTGTATAGGTTTAAAATTATACAACATATAATATAATATACAAAACGTACTGCAACACTTTCTGGTAGTCAATACTTTTTGGAACATGCATTTCATCACATTAACTATTAATACCTGTGGCTACTCTGCTAGGACACCTTGAGGGGAACTGATTTCATACATCCATTAAAAATCACCCAGGGACCAGTTGGTTTAAAGTAATTACAAAAACGACTAGGAAAAGTTAGCTATTAGAAAATTTGCTTGCAGTTGCAGCTGCCATTTGGATTGATATTTTGTCATCGAATGCAATGAAATTCATACATTTTTCCCCCAAACAAAGGAACACGTAAGCATATTGATAGCTAAAAGGTCAATTTAATTAGAGTGAATTATAACAAGAATATGTCTGAATTGTATAAATTAATTACATCTTTCATCTAGGATTAATTCAGTGGCTCTCAACTGGTTTTGTTTGATGGATGAATGAATGAATGAATGATGCATTTATATTTAGTAACTAAATGTCTCTCAGCAGCACAAACCAACCATGTTTATTCTCCATGCAAGCAAACTTAATACAGTTTGGTATGTTTGCAATTTTTTTCTTCTTTCAGAGATAAAGGGTTGTGTCAAACAACATGTCTATGTTGGCCTAATTTCACTAGCTTCTACCAGGTGGCAGGTGAATTCTGCCAAAATACAACAGAATTTGGTTGGATGCTCAATTTTGATGTCAACAACAAAAGATATCTCTTTTAAAAGTTCATAAGTCTAGTGTTTTGCCATGCTAGGTTTTTTGCATGTTTCCCTGCTGTCCACAATACCAAAAGCACAGACCTGTGACCCATTTTTTGGGCCATGAGTCCCATGACCCACCAGTTGAGAACAACTGAACTAATTTAGCATCGCTATCCAGAGCACAGCTGTTTCTTCTGCACATGAAGATGCCTCAGAGACCTGAAGGGTCAGATCAGAATAGACCACCTTTCTCAGGCCTCACATATATTCCAGATAATGCATTAGTCATGAACATTTAATATGCATAACTCACTTGACATTTAAACTTACTCATGTAAAACTGCTTGAAGACGGTGTTTGCTCTCTTTTTCCCTGTGACTGTTATACTTTGAACGCTTCACTGTCCATCCCATAGCATTGTATTGACGCTCACCTCATCCTTATTTTTAGAGAAGCTTTGGTCACTACAGGACTTTGGCAAATAAAATGTGTTTGCTACTCTATAAAAGATTTACTCGCATTGCACGTTTATTTATGAGACTAGAGGAGAAGAACAAAAGCTGAATGTTTTATTAGCACAGTCCCTCCGGCCTACTTTGTGTTCATTTTAGAAACAAGTGAAAGGGAAGCTAAACAGAAAGTTGCTTGTAAACAGACTAGTAGCTGTGGTAAGCTGTGACCACGCTAAGAACAGTTTCTTAGGACCAGCTGATTCGTCCCCCACAGTGAAATTCAAATGAAAGAAATCTCTCAAGGAAAAGGATAATTTAAAAACGATTATCTGGAGGGGTAGGCTGGCTTGTTATGAGTTTCCACTCCGAAAGATATTAGTTAAAGGTTTGTATTGTATAAATGTCAAGCCGGTGGGTTAAAAAGACAGCCAGTCTCAAATTCACATGCTTCATCATGTCAAACTCAAAATGAACTGCTTTGTAACACTTGTACGGTGAGTGTGTGTTCTGGAGTGTGTGTGGCCTTTTATTTCTCTTTGCTGTCACGTCACCTTTAGCGGTTCAGAGGACTGTGGTGGGATCTGTATCAGTGTCATTTTTAGCATTTATTATGTACTGTATTCCACATTTCATTTTTTTTTTTAACTTAATTGATTTTATTGTAAATAATGCACTATAGAAAATATATTTACCTTGATTGTACTTCACAAATCATGTCTCAAATTTCATCTCCGACTGCTCTTCTGAGATTGTTGTCTCATTGATAAAGTACACTAAATTTAGAAAAAAAATCATTTGTTACTTGATGGCAAAAACTGAGATTGTAATCACAAATAAAATACATATCATAAATTAAATATTATAATCATTGCCGTCTTTTCTTTTTTAGAATCTTCTCTTTCTTTTTTTTTTTTTTTTTTTAATGTAATACAGTAATTCATATTTTTTTCTGATGGATTTGTATATTTTAAGGTTACTACACAATCTAAACAAAACAACATTTGAAAATAATCAAAAATATATGTTTCCTGGACAGTTTTAATGTGTCTTTTATGAAACAAAAAGAAAAAAATCTATTAAAGGTCTGTGCTGAGTTTGAGTCCCGGATTGCAGACCTTTTCGAATCCCCCGTCCCACTTCACTTCCTGTCTAAAATATTGTCCTATCGTAATACAGGCAAAAACAGCAAAAGTAAATCTAAAAAAAAAAGGCCTGTCAGTTGTAATAAATGTCAAAAAGTGCCTGAAATTGAATGAACACTCTATTATTACACATATATGTTAAAAAAGTAGCCAAAACAAATAAACAATGTACAAAAGGAAAAAGCTCTTTTTTGTTGTTGTACAAGTGGATAAGCAAAAGGGAATACACACCTGCATCACATTACACAACTTATATTATTTATTTATGAATGCTACCTAGAAAATAATGACTTTGTATAAAGCAAACTACAAAGGGTGAGTCATTAGCTTTACATTAGCTGACTATAAGCTCTGTTATATATATATATATATATATATATATATATATATATATATGTATATATATAACAAATATTACTAAAATACTGCAATAGAATTACTTTGCAACAAAATATTGCAGAGTTGCTTTCCATCCTCTTTCATCTGGACATCACAACCTCGAAATTCTGCATTTCCCATTCATTTGCCTGGTCATTTACATGAAACAAAATTCATGCTATACAATATTTCTTATTAATTTCCCTTGGTCTCTTACTCTTCCTCCACCATCTCTCCTTCACTTACCCATATGGTGTAATAATATAATGCATTATCCAAAGAAAAGAGGAAGCAAGTGATTATTTGCCAAGCGAGGTGGGGGGAAGGGATGCATATGACATAATTTCATTAGAGAAGATGGCTCTATATGTATTGGACAGGCATAAAGTATACACTAACAGCCTCATTTGATAGACAGTTGAAGCATGACAGGGCTAATCAGAATCTCAGCTGCCCTCCACTGGAACGGCGACACTGATGATTCAATTTGGAGTATCAACATAAAGCACCGGGTTACAAACACCATCCCACGCTACTGTTAAACAGCAGGAACCATGGCTATCACGGCATGCCAGCATGACACAGCAAAGCGACAGAACACACACATACACACGCCAACATGGTGTTTAGCAGCATTTAATGCAGCATGATATTTTGTACTAATTTAGTCCTGCATAGGAACACAAGTAACTGGTGGGTTGCTCTTGGTATATATTGATACTAGAGTGTTTGGATTTGTGTGGTTAGTCACCATGCCATGTTCCTGCGGCTTGAGAGTATGTAGTCACATGGCATTTACGGCTTATATGATTGGCTAACCAGGTATTATAGAGCTTATATGCATTTAGAATTTTTAATAAAATGAGAATGGAAAGGAATTAAACTAATGACAAAGGCAGAAAAAGAAGAGAAAGAGATTTGAAAAGTGCTATTCTGGGAACTGGTTTACAAAGAACTGTTTGAGAAAGAGATCCCCCTCTGTGTCAAAATCTTAGAAAAAGAGAAAAGAAAGCGAGTGGCCGCTCTGATTTCCCCCCTGGGTGCTGTTTATCCGGTGGAGGTGAGGTGTGTGTGGGGAGTGGTAGTGTGCAGAGTCCAGTTCCAGGCTGTTACAGATGGTAATTTTGTCAGAAATCACTGAGCTGCTGCCAACTCCATGCTGGAGATACAGCAAGCGACGGCTGGTGTGCTGTGCTGAATCCTGCCTGTGAGTACCAGCCACCAGCTTTTATTCTCTCTCTCTCATTCAGACTCACATGCACTGGATAAAATACAGTTTGCCAGGATTTAGCAAAGCGACTGGAATCTGCTACTGGATAAATAAATGCTTGAATTCTGTTTATGTTGGATTTATTTTATCTGTCATTATTTGTCTTTTAGCTTCTCATCTCTGCACAGTTATCTTGCAGTTCCAAACCCATATGATTTTCTTTCTTTCGTTGAACAGAAAGGAGAAATTCTGAAGAACTGTGGTTGCTCTTTTCCATTACAATGACGGCGTGTTTATGCTTTCAAGGATGCAAAAGTACCACAAAAAATCATAACAGGGAGCCATTGCAAAGTCTTCTGAAGCTATATGATTTGTTCATGAATCAATTAATGATGTCTGTTCCTCACAAAACT